AGCCCCCTCCCCTCGGGGCCCCCCTCCCTCTTCTTTCTCTCCTCCCTTCATTACAGGGCAGGGTCCAGTTTTCGTCACAGTCTCCTCTGACCAATCCTTGTGCCTGGCGCCGGGCGCGGCCACCAATCAAACTACTTGAACTGCGACGGGTTGCATCATGTGCCTCTGGCTTGGTGACAGCGGGGAGGGGCAGGTGAATGAGGAGAGAGGGGGCGGTGCGATGTTAGCCACGCCCCATCTCTGAGGTTGGACGCGGACTGCTAGTGACGTCACGGAAGCCCGCCTTCAGGCTTTTGTTTTAACTCTTGGCTCACCATTCAACAGATTAAAAGCGCTTTTGAACAGGAGCTTTGGAGAACAAAGTGCCCATAGGGCATAGAGGAAGGCTTCGTTTGCTGCCCTCTGAACCTTTGTCTTGTTTCAGGATTCCGGAGAAAGGAGAGTTTTATCTACCTGCTCCAGGCGCAGTCCTAGAAGTAGCCCTCCGCCCTTCGATGAACGAGTCCAGTTCCTCGATCTGAGTCACCTCCGTTTTGAGGTGAAGAAGCTGAGGCAGAGACTCCAGGAAAGTGCAGACCAAGGCCGGAAATAAAATCCAACTTAGAGCGCATAGCTCCCTGAGCTCTAGTTGGGAGAAGAACTTGAGATTTTAAGGAGTTCTGTGGTCTTCGATTGGAGTGGCGGCCTCTCAGGGTGACTACCCTGAGGTTCTGTATAGGAAGGGGTTAACAGGCTCCAGGAGGACGGGGTGGGGCCATGGACGGGGCGGGGCCAGGGAGACTGCGGGCGCGCGCGTGCGTTGCTGACTCAGCGGCGATTCCCGCGGTCTCCGGTGGAGGGTTCCAGGTTGGCCCCCAGTGGCTGGCGTGTGGGACCATTTGAGGATCGGCGCCATCTCCGGGCCTTCCTTGGATCTTGGACCCTGGGGGCGGTGGCTCTTGGTCTCAGCCGCCGGAGGCTCTGGAAGGCTAGCCTAAACTGAGCTGGGCGGGGCGGGACAGGGCGGGGACAACAGGCCAGCGCCTCCCCGGAGACATCCCCGCCACGCCCCGCCCTTCTCGCCCTGGGTCCCCAGACTCCAGGCCGGAGTGGTCTGGGCAGCTTTTCTGACCGGATATTAAACTGCGAGAGTTGTCGCACGTGGACACCATCCTGCCTGTGGTGACTGTGTAAAACAAAGACCAGGAATCAATCAAGGCCATCCCAGCCTTGCCCTCGCTACAGATGAGAGTGACCTGCGCTGAGGTTTCCTAAGGATGGAAACACCACAACCATATACAGTTTTCCCTGTCTGGATCCCGGGCTCTTGCCTGCAGGGAAGTTCTTTCTGTTGTCTAACCTTTCTCTTTCCGGCAGGCTCAGTGCATTTCCTCTGACCCTGTCCCAGGGAAGATGGAGAATGGCTGTCACCTCCACCCCCACCACTCCCGTGATAACTGCTCTTTGGAAATTTGCAAATTGGAATTCTCTCCTTGGATCTTCTCCAAGGTGAAAAACTCAACTTTTTAAATTACTTTTTTCCTCTCCATCAGAGAACCTTCGAAGGGACTCTAGAGTGGTAATCGAATCCAAAGCACACCCAAAACGGGAATCTCTTGGCCCTTTCCCTACCCTCAACTAGGCAATAGGCACATACAGTCCCCAACAGCCTTAGCCTGAACATTCCACAATCTGGGAACTCGGTACTCGCTAAGGCAGCCATTACTGGATAGCGCTCTGGTTGTTAGAAAGCTCTTCCTTGAACTATTTCAGGAGGAACCCTCGCCCCTCCTGGTCTGGCAGGTTTCCCACCTCACCTCTGTTGGCAGATACCGGGTGAAGGTGGAGGGGGTGTCAGTGCCTAGAGCTTTAGCAAGCTCAGCAACCCCCCGGCCACCCAAGCCCCGCCCCGCCCCGCCCCGCCCCGCCCCGCCCCAGGCTCTCAGCGCCTTCCACTCAAAGCCAAGCACCGCGGAGTGGGAAAGGGAGGGGGCCTGGGGGGACCCACTAGCTCTGCCCTGCTACAAATCACTTCCAAGCCGGTGACTCAAAAATAGTAACAGTTGTTGGGTTGCATCTCATTTCCTTGTTGTCAATTTAATGTTCAGAAGTACAGAAGCAATACCTTTAGGTCTCTACCTCTTTCTCAATGTCCCCCACCCACTCCCCTTTCCCACTACCCACCCTGGAGTCATTTCCTCAGCCCGCCTCTTCTTGATTCGAAGCCCTAGTGGTCCCAGAAGGAGACGCTGTTGGTCTCAGTGGGAGCAGAGCAGGAAGAAAGGCGGGGCCGGCGGGGGCACCGGCTGTGGGAGTGAGGCCCTGGACTGCAGCCCCCACCCCGGAGCAGCCTCCGCAGATCCTGGCGGAAGCGCAGGCCCAGAAAGGCGTAGAGCACGGGGTTGAGGCCGCAGCGGGCGAGGGCCAAGCCCCCGGTCACCAGGAGTGCTAGATCCTTGCGCTTGCTGGCGGGACAGCTCCTCTCGCGGGCCGCCAGTAGGTCGGCAGTATCCAACAGCAGGGCGAGACTGTAGGGCAGCTGCAGCACCACGAAGGCCGCCACCAAGGCCACCACGACGCGCAACGCGCGCCGGCGCTCTGGCCCCCTGGTGGCCAGCAGCGTGCGGCCCAGGAGCGCGTAGCAGGCGGCCATAACGCCCAGCGGCAGCGCGAAGCCCAGCACCACCTGCGCCACGGCGCTCGCCCCCTTCACTGTCTGCGTGAGACCCTCGGGGAAGACGAGACGGCAGCGCCGCTGGCCTTCCCGCTGCCCATCCTGGCTGAAAAGGAGAGCAGGCAGCGCCAGGAGCAGCGACAACAGCCACACGATGACTGAAACCAAGTGTGCACGGCCTGGCGCCGAGGGCCTGGGTCCAGCTGGGAGGGCTCGCGCGATGGCTAAGTAGCGGTCGGCGCTGATACAGGCCAGG